GGGGGGGGGGGGGGGGGGGGGGGGGGGGGGAGAAGGGAAGCGCCAAGTATCTGTGCATGCATCAGTCCACGCCACGTGTCGATCAGCTAGCGCTGACTGATTACAGGGTTGTGATCCCTGTCCTGTCCATGTGATCCAGCGCCACGTGTCTGTCCCAAACTGCCAACTGCAGCACTGCAGTTTGTGGGCGATGTCACACACATCATGAACGAGCGTATGCATGCGACCAAGTTCTCGACCAGATGCAGGCAATAGGTGTAGCGAGGATAATCTCCACTTCCTCCTCAGCAGCAGTCTTCTTCTCCTTCGTTGTCTTCTTCTTCTTTGTGGTTTTTTTTTTTTTTTTTTTTTTTTTAATGAAATTTCATGCAGAAGGTACCCCTTGGACCAAAACTGGACTTGACATTCTTCTTCTTCTAACAGCGCCATACTTCCACTAGCACTTTTGCCTGGACGTATCTGGCCACAATTATGAGCCCCCACGGATGTATGTGGCCGTAATTGAGGCCACAGCTGAGCAGAAAAAGTCCAAGCGTGAGTATGCGCTAATTCTTCTTCTTCTTCTGCTAGTCGTGGTGGTGGAAGTAAACGTCATCTACTGAGCGCCTGAATCTGGATGGAATTTAGGTACAGGTGCAGAAGAGCAGATCAATCGTCATTTTCTGCATTTCTCCAAATACACGTCCAGATTCAGGCGGTAAAGTGGGACCTCGCCCCTCGTCGCAGCATGTCTGCAGTCTGAAAATGTTAAGAAACGATTGCCATCTACGCGGTCAACCCCGCTAGCTCTGGTCCAAAAAAAAAAAAAAAAAAAAAAAAAACAAAAAAAAACCGACTCCACTGAGGGGAAAAAAAAAAGGACAAAAAATAAAAAATAAAAAAAAATAAGGAGGACCATGAACCTGTCTCTTATACACATCTAGATGTGTATAAGAGACAGGTTTAATTCACCAGCAAAAAAAAAAAGGACAAAAAATAAAAAATAAAAAAAAATAAGGAGGACCATGAACCTGTCTCTTATACACATCTAGATGTGTATAAGAGACAGGTTTACATGTGTGAAAAGTGTGTTTGAAAACGAGTTTGATTGCAGACTGAACAACCGAAGGGAAAAAAAAAAAAAAACCATCTGGTTGGCAGCAGCCTTGCACTCACTCAGAAAGCGATTTCAAAACCTGCGATCAGATCTCCGATGATGAAACAGCGACCGGAAACAAGACAAAACAAAACAAAAAAAACAAAAAAAACAGAACCTAAAAAACCGGCAGAAAGAAAAAGAGCTCCAAAAAGAACCGGATCCCAACTGCCACAAGCCAATCTAAGGGCATACTCACACGGCGAACCCTAAAGCCGCAAAATATGCGGATTTGGGAAGGGCCGATTTGAGGTTTTGGGTATGGTTCACGTCACACTGCTGTACCTTTTCAGATGGGACAAGGTCGCGGCCGTCTCGAGAAATGGGGATTTGGTACTTGGCTGGTCACACGGTGCCATCTACCAATTGTGCAAGAACTTTTGTTAACGAATTTTTGCCAATTTTTGAAGAAAATGCAAAAAAATAAAAGGGAATTTGGGGTCACCTCCAGAGGTGACCGCAAAATCCCTTGCCTCGCGGCTTCCCAGGCCGCTGACAAATGGGCACTGGAATAGTACATTTGTGAATTTCGTAGATCCGTGTGACCGGCGTTTTCCCCTTTTTTGGGGGATTTTGGGATTATTATAGGTCCCCGTGTGAGTATGCCCTAACTCTATACTCATCACATTTCTCCCAATTCTCTTCTCTACCTCTCTGCCCTCTGATGCCCAACCAATCCACTACTACCACTATTAACCATCAATCAGTAGTAGATTGTCTAGGTACAGCGAACCGGCGAGCGACAACTTCTTTCCACCATCGTCTGACGTGGATCCCGATCCCAACTGCCACAAAAGCCAATCTAACTCTATTATACTCATCACACTTCTCCCAAGTCTCTTCTCTACCTCTGTGCCTCTGATGCCCCCCGCCCCAATCCACTACTACCACTAGTAATCATCAATCAGTAGTAGATTGTCCGGGTACGATGAACCGGGGACAACTTCTTTCCACCATCGTCTGACGTGGATCCCGATCCCAACTGCCACAAAAGCCAATCCAACTCTATACTCATCACACTTCTCCCAAGTCTCTTCTCTACCTCTGCCTTCAGACGCTCAACGGCTATAATTGTGCCAGCTCGGATCTCGACCTCCTCTTCAGATCCCGACCAGATCTCCTGCAGGGAATCGATCTTCTTCCTAAGCGATGAGCTGTACTTCAAAACCGACCAATCTCTCAAAACGGCGGGAACGACATAATCAGCAAACATAGTGAGAGAATGGATATCGTGAAAATAACCAAGTCCTTTCCCGCCAAAAGCTCCCCAAACATCCCCTACAAAAATTTGGGCGCGTTTGTACAAAAAAATCTGCCTTCCTTTATAAACACAGTGATCTCGAAAACCTGGGAAATGACGAAGTACCAGCTCAACCAGTGCTGCTGCTGAGCCTTGAGCCCTCTGGACAAGATTGATGGCTTGTCCTCCAAAACTCCTAATCAACTCTGCCCCTGCCTCTCGCAACAACCTAACTCTTTCTTCCTCCTGTGGTATCACTTCCTCCTCCTCCTCCTCCTCCTCCTCGTCCTCGTCCTCCTCCTCTTCAGGTTCATCTCTCTCTTCCTCTCTCTGTTTCTTTTCCTCCATGCTCCTTCGTGTGTCCTGCTTCCTCTCCTCCTTGATCTTCTTCTTAGTCTTCTTCTTCCTCTCCTCTTCCTCCTCTTCCTCCTCTTCGATCTTCTTCTTCTTCTCCTTCTTTCTGTCCTCCTTCTCTTCGTTCTCCTTGCTCTCCTTCCACTCCTCCTCCTCCGTCACCACTACGGTCTTCTTCTTCTTCTTCTTCTCCTCCTCCTCCTTCACCATCTTGACCACTTCCTCCCCCTCCTTCGTCTTCTTCGTCTTTCTCCTCACCTCCTCTTCCTCCTCTTTGGTCTTCTTCTCCTTCTTCCTCTCTCCCTCCTCCTCCTCCTCCTCCTCCTCGTTGATCTTCGTCTTCTTCTTCTTCTCCTCCTCCTCTCCCTCTTTTGTCTTCTTCTTTTTCTTCCTCTCCTCCTCCTCTTTGGTCTTCTTCTCCTTCTTCGTTTCCCCCTCCTCCGCCTCCTTTGTCTTCTTCTTCTTCTTCTTCTTCTCATCCTCCTCCTCCTCCTCCTCCTCCTCTCCCTCTTTTGTCTTCTTCTTCGTCTTCCTCTCCTCTTTCTCCTTTTCGATCTTCGTCTTCTTCTTCTTCTCCTCCCCCTCCTGCTCCTCTTCGATCTCCTCCTCCTCCTCCTCCTCCTCCTCCTCCTCCTCCTTCTTCAACTTATCCTTATTCTTACTCTTTCCCCAGTTCATCATTTGCCGTAAGGTCTTCACATCACAGGCCGCTAGCCGCTCTGCATCTAGTGCATGAGGATCTCTGAGAACTGCCGTCTTCAGGCTCTGTGCCAGGTGTTCGTACGTCAGATCGGGATCTGGCCAGAAACAAAAATTCAGCACGTCAACCACAAAGATGTACTGCACCGTTAACGGTCCTCCATCTTGAAAATGGATGTCTTCCCAATTCCATTCCACCTCTTTCCAAGAGCCAGCCAGCTGCTCTGCAACTGCCACCAGGGCATTGTCATCAATGCTGACGTGGCGGCTTCGATCGACCACCCACTGAGTAGTCTCTCTGACATCTCGCAAAGGATCCACGTCAGCAAACGGCTGACGTGGCTGACGTGGAACATCTGATCTCTGCGGCAGAAAGGGAGCAACTCCCCCGTTCGCTGTAGGCTTGCCGCGTGTCGGCTGGCAGCACGATCTCCCGCCATATTCCTCGCGAGCTACTCCCCCGTTCGCTGTAGGCCTGCCACGTGTCGGCTGGCAGCAAGATCTCCCGCCATTTTCCTCTATGCAGCCGCCACCAACTTGGCCCCTGTCCTCAGAGCCCTGGTCACACATTTCCCGCCAGTTTTCTCCGTTGATATCGACGACGGAACTGCCGCCTTCGTGCCTCCTCCCCCTCTCCTCAGCCATAGCTGAACAGCTCACTGCGCGCCACGCGTCCCCTCTTCCCCCCCTCCCCGCTTCCCAGCTACGCTTGCCTGAATCTGTCACCACAATGTCCAACGAAAACCAGATCCATACCAACTGGGCTGGGCTACCGTATCTCAGTTGGTACACCCTTGAACTGAACTGTTGAAATACAGACCCGAGTTCAAACTCCACTGGAAACAAGATGAGTGAAATACTCCAGGGGCGTGGTCCCACTAGCAAAGAGGGATCAGATCGAATGCCCGAATCTGGACGTGTTTGTGGAAAGGTGCAGAATGTCGAGATTGAACTGCTTTTCTGCATGTCCGCTTAAGACACATCCAGATTCAGGATATTTATACAATCCTCTTTGCTAGTGGGACCTCGCTCCAGTTCTGAATTACCTAATGTAGGACCGGACCCAGTTCGAACTCCACAGGAAGCAGACGAAAAAGTGCAATACTCCAGTTCTGAATTACCTAATGTAGGACCGGTCAGCTCGTTCTGGCTGCTACGGGGTTGCCGTATGACTATAATTAGGAGAAGTGGTAGGTAGGTAGTGTGAGGGGGTGGAATTGAGAGAAGAATATAGCTTTTATGTTTAAAAAAAAAAAAAAACGAGAGAAGGGTAGAAAGAAAAAGAAGATGAGATCTGTAGAGAAGCAGTAGGAAGTTGTTCAGGATGTTTGCCTCTAAAGGCTATGGTAGTTTCGGTCTGGGCCAGACCTTTATTTGAGTTTTCTGGCCTAATTTCTTGTTTGGGTTTCTCCTTTTCCTTTTTAGGCAGGTGGAGTCCATTTTGGCCCTGTTCTGTCTTTTAGTATTCTGTGGTTTTGTCGGCGGTGAAGGCAATTTCTTTTATTCCCAGGGTTGGGAAATGTCAAGGGCAGGGGTCTGGATGTGGCCAAATCTGCTACTGGACTATAATTCCCAATGCCTGCACCATAAACTGGGTAATGGTCCCAGAGATCACCATTTTCCGGGTTGTTTGTGGAGGAATTCCCGGCCTCCTCCTTTTTTTCTCTAATGAAATGCAAAGTTGATTTGTCAGAAAAAAAAAAAAAAAAAAAGAGATGATGATGATATCTCAAGGTCGCGCTCCGCCCCGCCGATCTCGCCGAGGGGCTACGGGCAAGCGGGTTGGCGCGGATAGCGCATGGTGACGAAGGGCGACGGGGAGTAGCAGCGAGCGGAGAGGCGCGAAGGAAGAGGATGCGGACAGGCCGTGCGGCGAGCGGTGAAGAGTGGAAGGAAGAGGGTTTAGGGCGGGGGGTTGGGGTGGGTGGCTATGGCCATGTGGATTTTACCAATTAGGATGGCGTCGAGGGGACGGCTTAGTGGAAGGCAGCAGCTAGGGTGCATCATTCATCCAGGTGAGTGCTTCTATCTGGGAAACGGCTCGGGCCTTCTCCGTCTTGAGAGCTGTTAGTCTGGCAAGCGCGGTTTTTTTTGGTGTTTTTTCAAGGTTACTTTTCTATAGGTTTAGCATCACCAAGATTGGAAGCGAGTTAAGGATGATTAGGTGGGGTAGCATGTGGTAAGTGTTGGTGGTGATTTAGAGCTTGGGCGACGGGATTGATCTCCCCCTCCTTCCTCAATTGGTTGGGAATGAATGTCTTGTAGGGTTTGAACCCCCTGCGACGACTCACTGACAGGTTTGGTGAGGTGGAGTCGCATTGTCTTCTGATCCCTGGGGGGTTGGAGATGGCCGTTGATGTCTTCGGCGTTAGCATTGCCTAGATGCTTAGTGGCTAACAATGGGAGGAGGGTGGTCCTCTTTCCCCGAAGATGGTGGGGTAGGGTTTGAGGGGAAGGGTGGTAAGTAGGTGGGGGTTGAGGAAGTGGGGGAGGAGTTCTTGTGGGAAAGCTCTATCAATTGAGGAGGAAATTTCTATTAGGAAGTTCTGCGTGATTTCGCCTAAATAGTTGTTAACGATTTTCATGATTTTCGTGTACTGTTTAGAAGTTCAGCAAAAATTGTAAGTGATGTCGTCGAAATCTGATATCCCCTAAATAGATTGATAGGTCTTAAGTACGATTTTGAAAGAAATTATCACAACTCTCTCAAATATGGGTCAGTCGATTTATTTTTCTGTTTAGTAATTTCCTGATTTACTGTCTGAGCGATTCCGAACCTTGGGGTTCTGGAAATCAGAGTCATAAGTCCTTTTGAACATCAGAATCGATATCCCTATTTTGTTTCCCTATTTGGACCGTCAAATCTTATCAAATTTGATCTTCAATCTTATTTTCATCTCGATTGATTCTCTGATTTCCATGCTATTTCTTTCACACAACTCTCTCAAATATGGGCCAGTCGATTTGTTTTTTTGTTTAGTAATTCCCTGGTTTACTGTCTGAGCGATTCTGAACCTTGGGATTCTGGAATTCAGAGTCGTAAGTCCTTTTGGACATTAGAATCGATATCCCTATTTTGTTTCCCTATTTGGACCGTCAAATCTTATCAAATTTGATCTTCAATCTTATTTTCATCTCGATTGATTCTCCGAGTTCCATGCTAAATTTACGATTGAAAGTTCGTTTGCATGTTAAAGAAAGAAAATCTTAAACTCGGTTTCTTAAATTTGAAATTCGTATTCTAATTTTGTGCGTAGAATTTTTCAAAACAATATTTTTTTAAGTAATTAGTTTTAGTTATGATGCGTTTTTTGCAAACAAAAAGGGGAAGGTCGAATTAGAAGCAGGAGGGAAGTGGGGGGGCTCACTCAGAGGAGGGATGGGCGGGTCAGGGTGGTAAGTCTAACTAGAAGGATGGGTGGGACGACATTGGCCGGTGCTGGAGCATTTGCTCTGTAACCCGGGAGTTTGAGGCCATTGAAGTTATGCCGAGGGTGGAAGGCATAACCATCTCGCCCAACGTAGCTTTTGTCGGGGCGGTGACCCTGTAACCTTTTGAGGGGCCTTACAGTTAAGAGAGTTGTCAAGGGGGGAAGACACTCTCTGTCCATTGGAAACAGTTAGGTCGGTACTGCGGCAGTTTGTGTTGCCTTGTAACCCTAGCGGGGGAGTATGAGATCTGATGATTTCTGGTACGAGGATTGAAAGTCTGGTCGGTGTGTCCTTCATCTGTGGTGAGGGTAGGAGATAAATTGTTAGTGGTTCTAGTTCTCGTCCTTTTTCCTTTTGGTTTTTAAATGGGAAGGTGAAAATCGGAAGTACGGTTTGGAAGGAATTTTGGGTGGGCTCGCGTAGTAGAGGAAGGGTGGCTCAGGGTGGTAAATCTACTAGAAGGGCGGGGTGGGGCGACATTGGCTGGTGCTGGAGCAGTGGCTCTGTGACCAAGAGGAGTCTGAGGCCTTTGGAGTTATGCCGAGGATGGAAGGCATAACTACCTCGTTCAATGTAGCTGATGCTGGGGCGGTGACCCTGTAACCCGGTAGGGGGGTTTTGCAGCTAAGGAGGTTGTCAAGGGAGGAAGACACCTCCTGTGAGTCAGAAAACAGTCAGTTTGGTGTTGGGGCAGTTTGTGTTGCCTTGTCACCCTAGCAAGGGGGGTGTGAGAACTGGCGACTTCTGGTACGAGGACTGAAAGATTGAGCGGCGTTTTTTTGCCTATAGTGAGGGTTTGAGTTGGATTGTGGTGATTTTGTTTTTGACTTTCGTCTCTTTGTTTTTCATAAGTTTTTGATTTCCCAACATGTTCCTTCATTACCATCAAATGGTAGGGGGTGGTTCTCTCAACTCTTGAGAATGTCTTAGGATTTTGGGTACTTCTTGCAACTCATTTCTAGGTTTTTTTGGTGCTGTTAGATTCAAGGATCTGCGTTTTTTTCGATGCCAGAACGACGCTGGCCGGAGTTGGGGTTTTGCCCTGTAACCTCTCGATAGCAGGAGCGTGAGGCCTGGTAGAGAGATTTGGGGATGCCTTAGGCCGGGCATTCCAAAGGAAAACCAAGGGTTGCTGTCGGGACAATGCTGGGCGGAGCTGGGATGAGTTGTGTTGCCCTGTAACCTAGCAGGGTGGGGGCATGAGGCCTGGGAGAGCCCGGCAGGGAATTAGACAGTGCTAGAGAATTTTAGAGTGTTTTGTTGGGGTTTTCAGGGATTCTGAGCATTCGAAGGACTTTCGGGCTTTCTTGTTTTTCTTAGTAATAGGTCAGTAGTATTCATGTTTTCCTAAATCTTCCTGAAATTTTCCTGAATTTTTCATAAGTTCATAGATGTTTCTATGCCGACATTTCAAATGAACTGTATAAATTCTATATGGGACGTTGGGCCCGGTTCCCAACACGTGTTGCTCCCCACGAATACCCCCCCCCCCCCAAAAAAAAAAAAGGCCGGCGCCCTTTGGAAACGAAGGGTGAAAATAAAAAAACAGATCCTTAAACCATGTGTTGCCCGGTTGAGGGGGGGGAGACGGCCCGATGCACTCCCCACCTTGCCAGGCCACCACCGGTAGTGCCACAAGGGATAGNTCCCTTTGGGTCTCATCAAAAGCGAAACTGGGTAAGGCTCCCAGACATGTTACATATCCGGGTAGACTGTGAGGACCCCGGCCTCATCCTTATCCCTGTCTCTTATACACATCTAGATGTGTATAAGAGACAGTCCTTAAACCATGTGTTGCCCGGTTGAGGGGGGGGAGACGGCCCGATGCACTCCCCACCTTGCCAGGCCACCACCGGTAGTGCCACAAGGGATAGGCTGACCCTGGGGCCTGGTCCCACCAGCGAAGAAGATTGGATCTAATGCCTGAATCCGGACGTGTTTCTGGAGAGATGCAATGTATTGCAATTGATCTGCTTTTCTGCATCTCTCCACAACAGCAACGCACATTCAGGAATTAAACCAATCCTCTTTGCTAATGGGACCAGGCCCCTGGGCACGGTTCCACTAGCACACGAGTCACAGACTATTCCCACCTGTGCTACACTTTGAGAAAAGGAAGAAAAGTAATTTTAAAGACCTTAGAAAAAAAAAACGTGGCCACATCCCATTTCCCAAGATGGGAACGAGGGCGACGTTTGAAAGTGTTGCTTACCACCCCGCCAATGCTGAATGAGGACAGAGTGGTAGGTCAGGTCCAGCTG